CCCCCACCCTCCCCCATCCCCCCTCCCCTCTTCCTCATCCATACCAGCACCTTCTTCACCCATACCACCCTCTTCCTCATCCATACCACCCTCTTCCTCACCCCACCACGGTCTTCCTCATCCATACTACCCTCTTCCTCACTCATACCGCGGTCTTCCTCACCCATAACATGGTCTTCTTCATTCTTCCTCATCCATACTACCATCTTCTTCATCCATACCACCCTCTTCCTCACCCCACCACCGTCTTCCTCACTCATACCACGGTCTTCCTCACCCCTACCACCATCTTCTTCATCCTTTCTCATCCATACTACCCTCTTCTTCATCCATACTACCCTCTTCCTCACCCCTACCACAGTCTTCCTCACCCATACCACCATCTTCCTCGTCCTTCCTCATCCATACCACGCTCTTCTTCATCCATACTGCCATCTTCTTCATCCATACCACCCTCTTCCTCACTCATATCACCCTCTTCCTCATCCTTCCTCATCCACACTACCCTCTTCCTCATCCATACCAGCACCTTCTTCACCCATACCACCCTCTTCCTCATCCATACCACCCTCTTCCTCACCGCACACCCCTTCCTGCCAACACCAGGGGTCTTGCAGCTGGGTTGCAAACCCTGGTGACCCTCTCGTGTTGAGTGGAGGACAGCCCCAGCGCCCTCACGGTGCTCACCTCACCAGCTCCTCATTGTACAGGGACTGTGGGGACTCTCGGCCCAAGATGTAGACCTGGCCCTTGAAGACGGAGAGGCGCACTTTGCCCTCCACCAGCTCCTGGGAGTGGCTGATGCAGTGGCGGATGAATTCACACTCGGGGCTGTGCCAGAAGCCTGCGGGTGGGAGGCAGCGTCAGTGGGGCCGGGGGCCGCCCTCCCTGGGGCCACGCGAGACGGTCCCCCCACAGTGTGAGCTGGAAGGAAGGCGCTGGATAAGTGTCAAGGCAAGGGATAAGGTTTGGGGGCTTTAGAGAGGGAGACGAGGAGCCCAGACATCCGGCGGCTATGTCCAACTATGGAGATCTCAAGTACATCCCTTTGCCTTGATGTCCCTCAGTTTTCCCACCTGTGAAACGGGTCTGAAATCAGCTGCTTGCCCATGGAGGCAAATGGACGCCCTCGCAGGGGGCATTAAACACCTCTGCGTGACTCAGACCCTGGGGTCACGCTGGCCCCCCAGCCGGGGAGAGCTGGACTCTTCCCTGGGATGCCCGCAAGGTGGGCACAGCGGAGGCCCGGGGTGGGGTTAGCCCCAGCGACCG